TAAAAAAAATTTTTAAAAATTTAAAAAAAAAAAAAAAAAAAAAAACTACAATTATATTTTTCTTTTATTTTTTTTTTTTTATCCTTTTTTATTATAATTACTTATAATGTATTTTACTTATTTCTTCTATTCTTTATTTTTTATTTCTTCATTTTTACTTAAACATTCACATAGACCACTAAAGCTATAAGTTAAAGGATTAAAATTTTTAAAATTTTTTTTGCCATTTTTATTATTAAAATACATTATGTGATCATCTTCTACATTGATATTAGATGAATTTTTTCTTTTATTCATTATATCGTTTTTATTATTATAAATATAATTAGTAAAACTATCATCATTTTTATAAGAAATTTCATATAATTCTGAATTATTATTTACAATATTATTTCCAATATTATTTGTAATGTAATTATTTTTATTTGAATCTATATAATTATTAGAATAGTTATATTTTGTTAAATTTGAAATCTCTACTTTATTATAATCATTGAAATAATAATTATGATCACTGTTACTAATGTTATTATTGATATTATGCTCATTATTATTATTATTATTTATTTTGACACCATTAATATTATTAGTGTTATTATTTTTATTACAATGGTTATTATTATTATTACTAGTGTTATTGTTATTATTATTAGTACTATTGTTGATATTATTATTTATAATACCATTGTTCATGTTAGTATTAACATCAATATTTTTTATATTATTATTATTCAATGTGCATAAATCTATTATGTTCATATTTTCATTAAAATTATTAGATTTATATATAATATTTTTCCTATTTAAATATTTTAAGGTATTAGAATTGTTTGAACTATTTTCCACATTATTATTCACTTTATCTACATTTTTTTTATTAAGAAAATTGTCTATGTTATAATTAATATTGTTATGGTTATCATTTACTAATATTTTATTAATATCTTCATAATTTGTAATATTTTCATTTGTATTACTTAATTTACTTTTTATATTTTCACTTATTCTATTAATATCAATATTATTCATAAAATTCATGTTATTCACATTTAACATATACATATTTCTTTTATGATCTATATTATTATTAATTTCATTATTATTTTTTATATTTAAAATTTCTTCATCTTCTTCATCGTTTAAATGGTTTGTATTTTCATTATTCATATTTTTATTTAGAATACCTATTTTATTATTTAAAATTATATTTTTATTTATATTATTATTTAAATTTTTTAAAATATAATCATTAGTATTTTCATTATCATCATCATCATCATCTTCATGAGAAGTTAACTCTCCATTATTAAAATTATGATTACTTATATTGTTTATGTTATCTATATTATTATTATTATTATTATTATTGTCCATATTTTTTAATTTTTTGATTTCATTAATATTATCTATATTCAATTTATTATTTGTGCTATTATTAATATTCTTTTTTGTGTTTGTTAAATTATTTAAATTTTTTTTTATGTTGTTACCATTTACATTATTTATACCATCACTTAAATTTATTCCATTATATAGGTTATTAGTATTTGAATTGATATAATTTTTAAAATTATAATTATTTAATATATTTTCATTGATATCATTATTTGCATTTTTTGATAAAAGTAATTGTTCATTAAATTGATTAGAATTATCAATTATAAACTTATTATTTAAAAGAAGATATTTTTTAAGATTGTAATCTGAATTATCAACATATTGAGAATTAATATCTTCATTGTAGTATTTTTCGTTATCTGATTTATTTTCTTCTTCTTTTAAATTAGATAAATTTGTTTTTTCACAATTTGGGATTTTACTTTTATTTGATTTCATTATAATAGATTTCATATTTTTGTTTTTTTGTTCTATTTCATTATTCATGTTTACAAAACTAATATTATTCATATTATATATAAGGTTTTCTAAATTAAAATGATTAACATTTTTTTCATTTGTCATATTACTTTTGTAACTAAAGTTTAAACTCTCATTTTCGCAATTTTCTAAATTTTCTTTTGTTTTATTTAGGTTTATAATGTTATCACAGTAATAATTAGAATTATTCTTAGAATTTTCATAAGTAGTGTTAGAATCAAACATAGAATTTTCTACATTATCTTTCTTTTTTGATTTGTTATAAAAAATTTTTTCTTCTTCAAAATCTATATCATTTTTATCTATTTTGTTTAATAAATTAAAATTTAAGTTGCAATTTGTATTAGATGATAAATTTGCTTTTTCTATTTTTCTTAAATTTTTTAATTTTTCTAAATTTATATTATCTATGTTTTGTATATTCATATCTAATGATGAAATATTGTTTTTATAATAATCATTAATTAATCTCGTTTTATTGGTGATATTCATATTTTTTAAATTTTCATAATTATTAAACATATCAATATTATCTGTATTTTTATAGGTGTATAATTTAAAATTTTTGTTTTCCCTTCCATTTAACTCTTCTTGATTATAATTACAATCATTGGGGGATAATTTCTCATTTATTTTTAAAAATTCATTATTTTTTGTAAATTCTTCATTTTTAGAGTGATATTCATTTTTTAAATTCTCATGATTATGATTATGATTATTTATAAATTCATTTTTCAAAAAATCATTTTTTATATTTTTATTTTTTACATATTCACCATTAATCATAGTATCATTATTACTAAAAAAATCATTTTCTATAAAATTTAAGAAAAAAAAAAAAAAAAAAAAAAAAATAATAAAATAATAGGAAAGTAATATTTAATTAATATAAACATAATATATAATATATTTTTTAATAACATAGAAAAAAAAATTTTAAAACTAGAAAGTTAAATATTAAAAAAAAACTGTATGTATATTAAAATATAATATGCATAATATATATATGTATATATATATATATATATTTATTCATTTATTTATTTATTTATTTAAATGAAATTACCATTTTCTTTTTTTTTTTTCATTTCATTGAAATAATCATTTTCTCTATTGTTTTCTAATAAATATTCTTTGTATGTTTTTTTATCATTATGAGTATAAAAATTAAGTGTGTTTTTCTTTGAATTTTTTATATCTTGTTCATTTTCATTAAATTGATTAATAATATTATAATTATCTTCTTTATTATCTTCTTGGTTGTTCTGTATATCACTTTTTATATATATATTACTTTCATTATTTTTTAAATCTAATTTATTTTTATAGTTTATATTATCATCATTATTATATACTCTATTCATTAATTCTGTAGAAGAAAACTTTACAGATGGATCTAGCTGATTTATATTATGAGCCATTGGGCACTTATCTGCCTTGTTACAATAACCTTTAAAAATTATTATAAATTTAAAAAAATAAAATATAATAAATTGATTTAAAATAAAATATAATAAATTGATTTAAAATAAAATATAATAAATTGATTTAAAATAAAATATAATAAATTGATTAAAAATATAATATAATAAATTGATTTAAAATAAAATATAATAAATTGATTAAAAATAAAATATAATTTATTTACCATCTAAAAAATATTTTGTACATAATCGTAGAGCTTTTCCTGATCCTCTTAATTCTTCTTCTGTATGAGCAAAAGTACATTTTGAAGCTTCACAGTAACTGCCTGATAAAAATGTGTAACACATTCTAGTCTAAAAAAAAAAAAAAAATAAAAATAAAAATAAAAATAAAATAAAAATAAAATAAAATAAAATAAAAGTTTATCAAAATAATAGAATTATATTTAAAAGAAAAAAAAAAAAAAAAAAAAAAATTCTAAAAGAATAAAAATGTAATTACTTTGTAGAATTTAGGCATAGGTCTAACATCTAATTGTCCATGTGCCCAACTGCATTTATTACCTCTTGCACATATTCCTTTTGCATAAAAAGAACAAAGCTGAGTTTTATATAACCTTTAAAAAAAAGAATAAATATATTCCATAAGTATAGATAATTAGAAGAATTATTTATATTTTTCTTAATTTATCATTCTAATATATTTATTCTAAACTTACATTTTTGATGGAATTGTTTTTTTACATAAAATATATATATATATATATGTATTTCTAATTTCTTTATATTTCTAATTATTTTTAATGTTTATTCTTATTTTCACATATAATGATACACACATATATATATATGTACAAATAATTATATACAAATATTTATTAATCTTGTTTTTTTTTTTTTTTTATCATAAATTTTTAATACATTAAAATAATTATATTATAAAAAAGAAT